GGACATACAAAATCCACTGAATAAAAACCCTTACATTAAAAAAAGATTAAAGATTAATTAATAATTAACTTAATGTTTAATACATTATACACAAAATTGTATTTTAATCAAAAATTATATTACTTGATAAAAAAAAAACACTCAAAGAACCTTAGCAACAACATAGCAATGCTCTGTAAATCATAGCGAACACCACTCACATTTTTCCCCCAGAACATATACAAAAATATATAATTAATACTAATGAATAATACATTTATCAATTTATTGAACATTTTTTACATCTTTGGTACCACTGTTTAATAACAATAGATATAAAAGCATAAAAGCAATAAATACTGGCTTCTTCTGCTTCCACTAGAATAGTCACATTTGAAACTTCCTGAACAAATCCACTCAATGCACTTAACCACTATTACTGTAACCAGGCTAAACCAGCACCCACAATCCCCCGCTCCTCTCACCTCACTAACTGCAGCTGGGACAAACCCCTGCCCCTCACTCGGAGCCTAGAGCCTTTGGCTCTCAACCCCACACCTACTACAGCGCAGCACAAACAAAGCCCCAGTCCCAGATTCCCACTGCGGGAACACGGCTGCAGGCCATGCTTTCTCTCTGTCTCCTTAATGAGGCCCCATTTGCACCTCCTGTTCCCAATCCCAAGCCATCAGGACCACCACTACAGATAAAATGCTGATGGAAATAAATGCAGGAGCACCATAATGCTATGGAAGCGTGTCCTTGACTAAAGCTAGTGGACGAATGTAATCCCGGGAGAAGATGGGAATCAAAATAATTAGAAGATCTACATTACAAACAGCATTGGGCTTTTGGAAGCCAACAAATAAACAGGCATTATATGAAACAGCCTTCACAAAGTATAATAAACATACATAATTTGACGTACACTACTTATCAAAATGTCAAAATAATTGAAATTATTATTATTATTTTTTTATATAATGTTTTTGAATATGCTAATATGCTGTTTGGACATTTCTCTATCAATGTTGAAAAAAAAAATTTTTTTCTGCTAAATACAGTATGTTTTGGAAACTGATAAATTATCATTTAAAATGTGTATTTTTATTCAGAAAGGATTGATTAAGTTGTATTAATTAAATAATAAATAATAAAAATAATAATAAAATAACAACAACAACAATAATAATAATGACAATAATAATAATTATTATTATTACAAAATATGTGAAGACAGTAAGAATCATTATTATTATTATTATTATTATTATTATTACTAAATAATACTAATTAACAACCAAAGAATCATGTGTATATATATATATAATAAGTATTTTAAATTGTAAAAATATTTCAAACTATTATTTTTCTCTATTTTTGATCAAATAAATGCAGCTTTGAGCATGAGCATAAGATACTTATTCCAAACGTACCTGTAGTGTATTTCTGAGCAAAGAAGAATGTTTAGCAAGAAATAATATAGAGTGAAGCATAAAAAATAAGTTAATGATAATAAATTAATATTAAAGCTTACTACAATAAATTAATATTGCAGTACGCTTTATGCTTTAATATAGGTAACCGTAAGAAAAACAAAATCAACAAATTATGTAAATATAATAAGTCATGTGGAAAGTGAGATTCTGAATGATGTAAGGTGTTATGTCATCCACATCAGCATCCGCAGCACTTTATGCAAGCGATTACTTCCTGTGCTCCGTCTCTACAAATAACCTGCTGTTTACCCAGCAGCCACACCAGCAGCAGCACACAATAAGAGATGAATTGGACTTGATTAGTCACTTACTTGAGAGGAGCGCTCCTGGGCTTGGGCTTCTCAGAGGCCTGTGAATAAGACAACAGCCCATCAGATTAAAGGTTGATAGCATGCAGAGAAAGAAAGAGAGAGCAGAAAACATCCAAACACAGCAAAATAGACAGATCACAATGTCTGAGTGTTTGCTGGTTTCCCCTTATGGACTCACTTGCTCTATGTCTATGTGAAAGTACTTAGAGAGAACAGTTAAGCATGACCAGAAACAGTAGATCAGTGTTGCTTGAGGAAATTTATATTGATTTTCTAGGATGGAGATTCTATTCAGGGAGAGCATTTGTAAATTCCTGTGATTTCTTGAGTTCACAGCAGTGTTCGGTAATTCATGTTGCTCATAAGATTCTATAGTGTTTCCTAGGGCTTTCTAAGCAGTAGTAAAACAAATACAGTCAATTAACTAGTATTACCCCTGGCAACCCATATAGGATATATAGAGCACATATAGATGGATCTAATAAAAACATGAAAATAAACATAAAAAAGGATGTTTAGTACCAATTAGGATTGTAATGGATGTAAAAATGTTTCTGTTTGAATTTTTTTCACTATTCAACTTGGTAATTTCCATGTAATTCCAATCATTGTAAAAAGCAAAGCCAATCAAAACAACCAAACCAAACAAAGACAAGACAAAACAAAACAAGACAAGACAAGACAAGACAAGACGAGACAAGACAAAACAAGACGAGACGAGACGAGACGAGACGAGACAAAACAAGACAAGACAAGACGAGAAAAAACAAGACAAGACAAGATGAGACAAAACAAAACAAGACAAGACGAGACAAGACAAAACAAAACAAAACAAGACAAGACAAGACGAGACAAAACAAAACAAGACAAGACAAGACAAATCCAAACAAAACAAGACAAGACAAGACAAATCCAAACAAAACAAAACAAAACAAAACAAAACAAAACAAAACAAAACAAAACAAAACAAAACAAAACAAACGAGACGAGACGAGACGAGACGAGACAAAACAAAACAAAACAAAACAAAACGAGACGAGACGAGACGAGACGAGACGAGACGAGACGAGACAAGACGAGACAAATCCAAACAAGACAAGACAAATCCAAACAAAACAAAACAAGACAAGACAAGACGAGACAAAACAAAACAAGACAAGACAAGACAAGACAAGACAAGACAAGACAAATCAAGACAAGACAAGACAAGACAAATCCAAACAAAACAAAACAAAACAAGACAAGACAAATCCAAACAAAACAAAATAAGACAAGACAAGACGAGACAAAACAAAACAAAACAAGACAAGACAAGACAAGACGAGACAAAACAAAACAAGACAAGACAAGACAAGACAAGACAAGACAAGACAAATCAAGACAAGACAAGACAAGACAAATCCAAACAAAACAAAACAAAACAAGACAAGACAAATCCAAACAAAACAAAACAAAACAAGACAAGACAAATCCAAACAAAACAAAACAAAACAAAACAAAACAAAACAAGACAAGACAAGACAAGACAAATCCAAACAAGACAAGACAGGCTTCAATGTATTTATGCAAAATGTTATTTATTTATTTACTTACATAGTTAAATGACTTAGGCATTTGACAGGCTTTGTGAGATTCATTACATTGTATCAAGCAATTAATAAATACCTTAGTACAGTGATGATATCGTACCATAAGGACTGGTACTTTAAATAAACATTCATGTATTAAGACATTTACCTAGTGTATTTGAAGTAAAACAAAACAAAGCAAAAAAATACCCCAAATCATAGTATTTGTTAGTAAATTCTGTCATTTAAACTTGTTGAGCATGAAATATGTTGATGAATTAACGTTCAGCAGATTACTGGTAAAACAGTACAAACAGTAAACAAAATTTAAGCATTGACTATAAATTATAATTTCATTTGACTTGGAAAAATTATATTATGTAAGGCCTGTCAATGAAATCCTCTACTGACTATCACTAAGTGCCCTAGCCTAATATAAAACAATCTCTTCACTCAATGAGATTCCTTTCCTGAGCTAATCAGCTAATCTGTCTATGACAGCACGCTGTTTATTAGGTCTGAGCTGTATGTTTGTCACAGTGACTCCTTCGGCTGTAGTAATGTAGTAAAAGAGTGCTTTACTGGCCCATAAGCGCTACTTTCAGAATCAAATCTCTCAAGGTAAATAGGGATATATTGAGATATCCAGCACTACAGATGAACACAGTGCCGGGTTACCGCTACCTGGGCAGCTGCAGAAGCAGAGACGCAGGTTTTGGGTTTAATACTGCAGCCATTGATCTGTGTACAGTCCATTTATCATTCAGGGAGGGAGCCAGTGATCTTCACAGTGTATTAGATGAAACAACTCAGATCATCTGTCACAGGCCCTCTTATTGCTGTTTCCCTCTCAGTGGGGAATTTGGGCTCATTCCAGGCTGCTCGCAGATGGATGTTGCTAGGCAACATGGTTGGGGGCCGTTGCTGCTGGCGGTGGCGTGTGTAGGTAAACCAACACGTGGCCAGGGACATACAAATGCTAGCATACACACAAGAACACGTGCTAGTGAACTCTTATGAATGTCAGGTCGCCTCCATCATGAGTGTAAGGAGTTTTTGGGCACTTGCTTTAAGGCTATGTATGTGAGAGACAGGAGGAGGAGGAGGGTTTTATTAGGGGGGCGTGTGAGAGTGGGCATCACTATTGTGATTCGGATTAAATTAGCTTTTCCAAAAAGCCAGTGTGACGGAATGGTTTAGCACAGCGCCTGTTAACATCAACACAGGGCCAAAGCCATTTCAAACATGATCAACGTGTGCTATGTCAGACCTTAAATATTCAATTCACAACAGAAACGAGGATAAAAACCTTTTTACGGCAAAACAAAAACAGCAGTGTAGTCTGAACTCGTCTGAATTCGTCAACTGTTCAGTTGTAAGTTATGCAGAAATCTGTTACAAATCTCAACATAAAACCATGTAAATGTCCACCTGAAAATGTATATTCTGTCTAGGGCTGGGCAATATGTCAAAAATATCTTATCGATAATCACCTTTAAAAATATCGCGATATCCGATAATATCGTCTACCTAAGTCCCACCTCCACCACGCCCCGCCCCCCCCGAGACAACATTGCCGACACGCACCATAAACACACACCATGGTCAATTTGGTCTTAATCATTGCCACAAAGTTTGGTTTTACTTTTCTTAGTTTGTGCTTAAACTAACAGAAAACATTAGCTTTGCTGTTATGTTGGTGTTGCTAATAATTTCCACTCTGTTCTTATAAAAAGAATTCTGTTCTTTGTGTTTGAAATGAATTTCGTTTTGTGAGGAGAACTGTTGAGGAAAAATAAGAGAACCCAATTTGAAGTTCATCATGGTGAAGTTGGACATTCTGGCGGTGATTGTAAGAATGATAAATGCATGTTGATGTCATATAATAATGTCTTGAATAAAATATGCAATGTTTCTCTTTCTTTTTGGCATTATCGCCTGTGTAGATACATTTCATGATGGTAAGTTTAATTTCCTTAATTATAACAATTGCAGCGTTGTTTTTTAAACTTGTAGTCAAGCTATAACGTATTTGATATTTATCATGAATGACTAAAATCATGCAGGGATTAAAAATGAATTCTGAGCAAAAACGTTAAGGTTTTTTTTCCCCCTTTCTGGTAGCCTACTAGTTCGGAGGTCTCTTTTGACCCGTTTTTAACGAAATAAAAATTACTGCTTTATTTAATTAGAAGCAGGGTAATTTAAATGTAATTTTTAGATTGTAATTTTTAACATTTTTATTTTATTAATCAAAATACAACGCTCACAATATAATATTCAGTGTTGGGCTGCCGAAACTCCGAACGCATGCATGTTGAGGGGCGAGCTGAGAAGCCTACTAATATCTTCATCCGTTTGCAACAAAACTTTATAGTTTTGTTGCAAATGAATTAGGAATTTATAGTGCTATATCTTAGCTTAATTTAAGACATAACTGATTGTATTTATGGGATATTTTGATTTAATTCTGTGTGTATTTGTCCATTTGAATGTGTAAGAACACGAGAAAGAGAGCTCAGTCCAGTGTTCGCGTATATAAGAGGCGGCTTTTGTGCGTGCGCTTTGTGTGTGTGTGCACGAAAACAGCGTGCGAGTGCAGAAGTGAGTTCTATTTCGTCTTCTTGCAGTTGAATCTTTTTAAATCACAATAAATGCGCATACAGAAATCGAGACGCAGAATCGAAATGTAATTTTATAAAAAGTAGGCTAATTTGACTCCTGACCTTCCGCATCTGATCTGATTTCTGAAATTGGAATAGCTTTTCGATTCCCAAGCCTCCTACTAAATTATTTAATTCTTGCATGCAAAAAAACCTGTATAGTGGGGCTATGTAAAATACTTTTTCCAACTTACTAGGTTTCTCATTTGTCATTTTTTCCCCAATAATGTCGATAATCGTCTGTTACCTGACTGTTGACATTGACATCGCGATACTTACGATACATCGTCGATATACGATAATATCGTCATATCGCCCAGCCCTAATTCTGTCATCATTTACTCATTGGTAACCAAAACGATTTTGGGTTCCATTGACTTACATCATTTAAAAAAAATTTTTTTTAATTGCATTATGGTGAGTAAATGATGACAAAATGTTCATTTTTGGGTGAACTAACCCTTTAAGTAGTTTATTTGATGAGCTACTCGCAGACCTTTATTAGCATTTTTATTTCAATTTAGGTGAAAAACAGGTCAGTTTTATGGTCAAATGTTATTTTATTTTCATTAAAATTTTTTGTTATATTTATAACCTATGTGGAAGTAGTATTTTGTGCTGTGGTATTTATTTTGTATTATGGGTTTAGAATCATCCCTGCAGGGCTTGGTTCAGACAAGACAAATCCAAACAAAACAAAACAAAACAAGACAAGACAAATCCAAACAAAACAAAACAAAACAAAACAAAACAAAACAAAACAAAACAAAACAAAACAAAACAAAACAAGACAAGACAAGACAAGAC